AACCACATTTTGTATCTCTGCTCTATAAGAGGATTTATCATTGTCACTGATGAGACCGATGATGGTGGTGTCATCAGCATATTTGATGATCAAGTTTGAGTCAGAGGAGGACACACAATCATGAGTGTACAAAGTAAAAAGCAAAGGACTCAAAATACATCCCTGAGGAGAACCAGTGCTCACAGAAACAACATCAGAAAAACAGTCATTGATTTTCACTCTCTGAGATCTGTCAGTTAAAAAGCTAAAAATCCATTTACACATGGCAACACTTAAACCCAGAGACATGAGCTTTTCAATCAGTTTACCTGGGACAAGGCAGTTAAAAGCAGAGCTATAATCGATGAAAAGCATTCTCGCGACAGATTTACTAGTGTCCAAGTGACTGTAGACAGAGTTCAGAGCAAAGGAGATGGCATCCTCCACACTCCTGTTCTGTCTGTAGCAAACTGGAGCGGGTCAACACTCACAGGGATCTGGCTCTTAATGAAATCCAGCACAAGCCGCTCAAAAGTTTTCATAAGAACAGACGTGAGGGCCACAGGGCGATAGTCATTCAGGCATGTCACAGGAGTTTTCTTAGGAACTGGAATGATGGTCGACTCTTTAAAGCAGTTCGGCACAGTACAGTTCCTTAGCGACAGGTTGAAAATGTCTGTTAGCACAGGGGCAAGTTGCTCAGAGCACAGTTTCAGGACACGAGGAGGGATGCCGTCCGGACCTGGGGCTTTCCGGACTGTGGTCCTGGACAGGACACGCCTGACTTCCTCGTGAGTCACGGTGAAGGTACCTTGATTGAAACACTCAGGGAATACAGTAGGACAGGCATCAGCGGATTCAAAGCAACAGTAGAACGTGTTCAGCTCGTTTGGCAGAGCTTGGCCGGCAGATGCAATTTTCCCAGCGCTAGGTTTCCACGATGTGATGGATTTAATACCGTTCCACATGCGCCGAGGGTCATCTTCCTCAAAATAACTCTTTAACCTGTAGATTTAATAGAACGTATCAATGAGTAACAGGATAGCTTATAAGCAACTGTATCATTTGATTGAAACGCCAACACACGCTCATGAAGTTTCAGTTTCACTTCCGCGTTCATCCAAAGGTTTTGACTAAAATGTTCTTTAATGACCTTCTGTGGGACACAACAGTCAATACAGAAGCGTATGTATCCAGACACCGCGTCACAGAATTCATTGACGTCCTCTGACTGAAACACAGACGAGTCCGTAGCATCAAAACAACCTTGTAGCTTCATGCTAGCCTCCTCAGACCAACACTGCACAGTGCGAGAGGTTGGTTTATGTTCCCTGCTCCTCTGAGTATATGAGGGAAGAAGGAGAACAGAGGAGTGGTCAGACTTTCCAAAAGGAGGTCTGAGACTGGACCTGTAAGCTCCCTTCACATTACTGTAACAGTGATCCAGAACATGTGCTCCTCTTGTAGCTTGAGTCACATCTTGGTAAAAGTTCGGGAGTACAGTCTTTAAATTACATTTATTGAAATCCCCAGCAACAATGATGACTGCGTTAGGATGAGCTGACTCATGTTTGTGAAGGATCTCGCTCAGATCCTGTAGGGCTACTTTGTAATCCGCACGTGGGTGAATGTAAACAGCACATAAAAATATCACTGAAAACTCACGGGGAAGATAAAAAGGGCGGCAGCTCAAGACCAGGCATTCCAGAGTGGCAGTACATGTTTGGTTCACGATGCGAGTGTCCGTGCACCAGCGCTGATTAATTAAAAAGCACACACCTCCGCCTCTGGCCTTGCCCGTGGTCTCCTTCACTCTGTCCGCGCGGTGAGCGGTGAATCCCGGGGGCTGAACAGCAGAGTCCGGGACGTTCGAGTGGAGCCACGTCTCGCTGAGGCAGAACACAGCGCAGTCCCGGGCCTCGCGCTGGCTCTGGACCCGACACAGGAGCTCGTCCGTCTTGTTGGGCAGAGACTGGACGTTGGCCAGGTAGATGGAGGGCAAAGGGGTCCTGGAGGAGCGGCTACGAACGAGCAGACCGCCTCGCCTTCCCCGGTGTCTGCGCCTCCTTCGCCGGCTCGAGGTGCCCAGCTCCACACCGCGGAGAGAACGCCGGAGACGCCCAGTCCCCTCGCTCTGTTGGTGGCCACCGCCGCGGCCCGCCTGCCGTGCTCCACCAGCCTCTCGAGTGGGACACTCGAGGAAGTTTGTGCACCTCAGTTTGGGTAGTACGAGTGACCCCTCACACGCAAGGTCCCGAATGTTAAGAAGTGTTTGCCGATCATATTTCACTGTGGCAAGTGAATCCCAGGCGAAAAACAACAAAACATAGATTGTGCGCACCAGAGCGTTCACTGCGGCGCCCTGACACGGCGCCATCTTGCTAGGACAAAATAACAGAAAAGGTCAATGTGCATAACTATTCACCCCCCTAAAGTCGATACTTTGTAGAGCCACCTTTTGCGGCAATCACAGCTCCAAGTCGCTTTGGATTAGTCTCTATGAGCTTGCCACATCTTACCACTGGGATGTTTGCCCATTCCTCCTTGCAAAACTGCTCCTGCTCCTTCAAGTTGGATGGTTTGCGCTTGTGAACAGCAATCTTTAAGTCTGACCACAGATTTTCTATTGGATTGAGGTCTGGGCTTTGACTAGGCCATTCCAAAACATTTACATGTTTCTCCTTAAACCACTGAAGTGTTGCTTTCGCAGTGTGTTTGGGGTCATTGTCCTGCTGGAAGGTGAACCTCCGTCCTAGCCTCAAATCACGCACGGTACAGATTTTGTTCAAGAATATCCCTGTATTTAGCACCATCCATCTTTCCCTCAACAGTGACCAGTTTCCCAGTCCCAGCTACTGAAAAAAATGGTGTTCTTTGGGTGATGTGATGTGTTGGGTTTGCGCTAGACATAGCGTTTTCCTTGATAGCCGAAAAGTTCAATTTTAGTCTCATCAGACCAGAGCACCTTCCTCCATACATTCTGGGAGTCTCCCACACGCCTTTTCGCAAACTTAAAACGTGCCATTTTGTTTTTCGCTGAAAGTAATGGCTTTTTTCTGGCCACTCTGCCATAAAGCCCAACTGTATGGAGCGTACGTATGGAGGACCAAAAATGACTAAAGTATAAATAAATAAATAAATACAGGAATATATTAATAAATACATTCATTTTGGACAATAAAAACTAAATATTTACATTGATATGCTAAATATTACTCTGAAATCAAATAAATATACTTTTATTTTGGTTATTTATCAATATCTACATTTTTTCCTTTATTTATTTATCCATTTATTGCATATATTTATTTATGTATTTCCACATTTCTTCATTTATTTATTTATGTATTTCTACATTTTTTCATTTATTTATGTATGTATTTCTGTGTCACTACATTTCTTCATTTATTTATGTATGTATTTCTGTGTCACTACATTTCTTCATTTATTTATTTGTGTATTTCTACATTTCTTCATTTTATTTATGTATTTCTGTGTCGCTACATTTCTTCATTTATTTATTTATGTATTTCTACATTTCTTCATTTATTTATTTATGTATTTCTGTGTTCCTGTATGCTAATTAGGTGGGCGGTGCTGAACTCAATCTAGAACAGGATTGGTTAGGATTGCGTGAACTCTGGTCTCGATCATTCCTGCCTCACATTACGGTACTCTGTTAGCTAGCTAGAGATCCTCTGTGCACTTTTGTGTGGTATGATGGCAGTTTCAAATGTAAGTTTTTTAGGAGCCATTGCTCATCAATTAAGAGCATTAGCAAATGATGTTGAGCATAATGCACCTGAGGACTATCTACTCTTTCGGCTGGAAAGACTATTAGATGTTTTAGTTCATCACAGTGCTGACCCAGAGGTAGACTTTGATGCAACTGTGCTGGACGCTCTTCAACAAGCTATACAGCAGCTCCACATCCTCTCACAAACCGAGGAGGCTAACTTTGGCCGTAAATGCTATTTTTGACCTCCATGTATTATTGAAGCTCACCTTCTTTTGGGTCACACCGTTGGTGACATTGCTCAGTTGTTTGGAGTGTGCGAAAGAACAATTCATCGGAGGATGTCACAGTATGGAATAAGGTAATGTATACCTTTCTCGTGTGTGTATTTCTATTATATTCATACGTTTGCAAAGTGATGAACGTAGGAGCGTTTTATCATCTTATACATTAATTTTGCACTTTGAGGTTTCTTTGAAATGTAAAGTGCAATATAAATAAAATGTATTATTATTATTATTAATTTCATACACTTAAGTATATGACATATCCACAACCTATCGTTGAAGTCAACAACTTTAGGCTGTAATGTTCAGGCCCGCATCACTGTCAGTTTAATTCTCAATATCAGTCATGTGATGTGATCTCAAAGTTTTTTTTTTATCGTTTTGTTTTGTTTTCCCCCTCCTGAAACCGCCACCTTAACGTGGAGCCTGAATGATCCTGGAGCTCTGTTGTCGGGGGCTTGGTGCCCCTGGTAGGGTCTCCCATGGCAAACAGGGTCTAGGTGACGGGTCAGACAAAGAGCGGTTCAGAAGCCCCTTATGAGAGACCAACAGGCCTGGTTAGAACCATGAGGCCGTCCTTCTGTGGACCTACCACCTGCAGGAGGAGCCATAGGGGCTGGTGCAATGTGATTTGGGCAGCTCCAACAGCTGCCCCCACAACCCGGCAGGACAAGTGGAAGAAAATGGATGGATGGATGGATGTTTTGTTTTCGTTGTCATGTTGATGTCATACTGACTGTGTCATTATCAGAGTCCACGATCTATTAACTCCACTAGATGACAACAGTCTGGATGACACAGTGTCACAAATTCTGCAGCACCATCCCAACTGTGGCTATAAGATGATGCTTGGGCACCTGAACGCACAGGGCATCCGCATACAAATTAAGTATTGCATAAACCCAGCATAAATTTGGCACTACTTGTGAAAGGAAAACATGACTTGAAATTGATCCTTTTTTTTTTTTGGCTTAACAGGGCAGCGTGTCCAGGAATCCATGCACCGTGTGGATCATAATGGAGTTCTAGTACGGACTCTCCAGCTGAATCCACAAAGGCGCAGGAAGTACTTTGTACTAGGGCCAAACAGTTTGTGGCACATAGACGGCAACCACAAACTGATAAGGTATCTTAAAAATCTAACTATTTCTAAGACACTTCATCTACCAACTGGTAGTATTCTGAATACGCTTGAAGCAGGACAACTGAACTTGTGTAGTTTTTTTTTTTTTTTTGAACTTTATTGTAGGGGCGACAGTAGCTCAGTTGGTAGAGCCAGAAGGTCGTGGGTTCAATTCCCACCTCTGCACCTTCTCCATCGACTCCCATTGATGACTGCTGTCGTTGTGTCCTTGGGCAAGACACTTAACCCCACTTTGCCCAAAGCCCCCACTGAAAAGATCAAGGCTATGCTCAAACTCAGAGAGCAGCCATCCTCCTGTGGACTCACCACCTGCAGAGGGTCAGTGAGGGGCTGGTGCTATGAGACTTGGGTGGCATCTCTGATTGCCACCCCCCTGACCTGACATGAACATTGTCCTGAGACTGGGCTTCACACATTATTTACAATCAGAAACAACAAATTTAAGGCTAGGATTTTGTCCTATTTCAGAAAGTCAATAACCGGTCCCCATCTTCTCTCAAAAAACGGGATTTTTAATTGTAGTTGTGCTGTCAACCGTTCCATTGAATAAACTTGTCTTGTCTTTTGTATCCATTGCATGACTGTAGGTGGCTCAGGTTTTAACCAACAAATTGTTATCATTTTCCTTGCGGTCATTAAGAGGAGATGAAGAAGAAATGCTTGGTCTTGAGAAAGGTTGTCAGGAAAAATGTCCAATAAAAATATTTGGGGGTCTAAAGAAATGTTAACTTTTAGTAGATTCTCCAAAATGTCCTTAACATCCTTCCAAAATTTATATATGGTGGGACAGTCCCAAAAGATGTGAGCCTGATCACCGACAAATCCACAGTTTCTCCAGCATTTGTCACTCATGGTGCTCTTGGCAAAGAAAGATTTCAACGGAGTTCTGAAAAATCTGGTTTTCGTCTTCCAATCAAACTCCTTCCAGATCTGACTGCCCACACCCTTATGACAGCCAGAGCAAATGTTAACCCAAACATCGTCATCCAAGGTGACATTCAGCTCCATTTCCCATTGCTGCTTTATGTGTTGTGTATAATCTGACATGTCAATCAGCAATTTTTTATACAACAAGGATACTTGTTTTTTCATTACACCACCATTTTCAATCAAATTAATAAAATGTTTCTCTATATTTGTGGACTCTCTTCTAATCAATTCCCAATCATTATGTTTTGTTACATAGCTCCTAATTTGTAAAAACTTATATAAATCACTTGAGGGTAACTTGAATTTTGCTCTTAATTGGGCAAACGTTTTAATTACATTTCCGTCAAACAACTGGTTCATTGTGAGGAGACCCCTCTCAGTCCATCCCCGAAAGCCACTGCTGTCTGATAAAGAGGGAAGGAACTCAATATTTTCATTAATAGTCATAGCTCGAGATAAAGCAATCTTTCCCTTGTTTAGTTTTTTTAAGACAGTTACGTATACAACCTATAGACATTGTGGAAATTATATTTATTTTTCATCTTCCATTAGTGTCTGAAAAGGACTGGAACGCTTATGTTGTTGAGACAGCATGGATTTTAATTATATGTCAGTGATCCTTTCTAACTGCATTTCAGTGCACTGAGATACTGAAACTTCAAGACAAACAACAAATAACACCAAAACACAAGCAGACAAACAGAAATGTAAATTACAATTTGTGACATTGCTCTTAGTGTGTATTCATATATATGTATTTCAGATGGCGTATTGTTGTGCATGGTGGTATTGACGGCTTTAGTCGTCTCATTGTGTACTTGAGTGCCGCTACCAACAACCGTGCAGCAACAGTACTGAATCACTTTCTGGGAGCTGTTGAAGTGTATGGCATTCCATCTCGGGTGAGATCAGATAAAGGTGGTGAAAATGTTGATGTTGCACACTTCATGGTAGCCAACAAAGGATTGAACAGGAATTCACATATTGCTGGCAGGAGTGTCCATAATCAAAGGTAAGATGAAAATGTAACAATGTTATTGATAAATTACTTTATTGGGCATAGATTTAGAATTATCTTAACTGATCTTATCTTTTTTCTGCACCCCGCAGTAATGCTTTTAATGTTTTTATGTAAAGCACAATTCACGTTGTTTTGTAACGTGAATTGTGCTATACAAATAAACTTTCCTTGCCTTAACGAATATTAAATTCAGTCACTGTATTCATTAGACTATGGAGGACCATTTAAAAGTCTGTCCCATTACAACACTCCTGTGCCCAAACTTACACAAAAAATAGCTATTGTTTATCATACAAATCATGAGAGTTTTTCAGTCATATAACACCAGTGAAATTTATGATGGTACACAAATGGAGAGTAGAAATTATAGCTTATACTTTTAGTGTAGTCTGTTACCAATCTAATTAATTTCAGTTTTTTTTTTAAAATTTGAACTAAAACGAAAACATGAAAAAAAATATCTTCCTTTTCTTCCATAATATCCAATATTTTGTCTGGCTCTCATCCACTTTTACACTAAGGTTTATCGTATGGTAATAGTGTACAGCCTGTGTTAACTGTATATGTCCAAATTAGAAATGTTCACAGAATGACACAGAATATTTATTAATTATTTGACTTTTACGATCAGAATAGAGAGGCTCTGGAGAGATGTTTATGTGGGAGTGCTTGATCTCTTCTACACCCTCTTCACCAACCTTGAGAGAGAAGGCCTTCTGAACCCTGACTTCGAACTCCATCTCTATGCTCTACACTGGAGCTTTCTGCCACACATTCAGAAGCACCTCACCTTTTTCCAACGCGGTTGGAACTGCCATCGACTGCAAACTGAAGGAAATCAGACTCCACTTCAGATGTGGTCTGGCTATGAGCGTGAAGCACAACACGACCCCATGCAGGTTTGAATAATGACAAATTCTGGCAAAAAAAACCCAAAAAAACCTTTTCACCTATCCTTCAACCAATCTCCTGTTATTGCAGGTAGACAGTGAGTATGGTGTTGACTGGACAGCACCATGTGGTCATCGACAACCTCATGTTGTGGTCCCTGAAGTTCAGCTGCAGCGCTCCCTGTCAGAGGAAGAAATACACAGTCTGCCACACCCCGATGGTCCTCTGTCGAATGCATTAGATGTGTATATACAAACTGTTAACTTATTATCTGAAATGATCCAGTAAAATTGTAAATCACATGAAGTAAAAGCTAAATGAAGCGACTCAAAGTTTCTTCTTTACAAGCTCTATTACCAGTGCAGATTTTTGAAAAATCTAACAATATAAACAAACACATTGTCATTAGAAATGTGAAGCCACATAATTTTGTAATGGCAGAGCATCTGGTGTTTTATTTTAAAGTACTTCTTGCATTATACAAACAGATTGTATACATAAAGTATATCAACAAAACTTTTGTTTGAATGTGTTAAAACATGCAAAACAATGAAACGTTAAAACATTCAGCTGTCCAGGTGAAATTCTTTTACAACTTGGATATTTAAATGTTAGCCGCAGTGTCCAATTATGATTAAGTAGTAGTAAGTAAGCTTTGATTCATCTTAAATTGTTATTTTTTTGGGCTTATTCTCTCACCCACACAGAGATGCTTTTATTGAAATGTGGTTATTTCACAAACCATATCAAAAGGCCCTGGTCCTACCCAGACCTCTTGATGGAGGCGAGAGTGAACCTAAAAAGTCGTAGCGTTTAACATCATTAATTCAAACATAAGTAACAAAAATCGAACATATAAAATAAAAATAAACATACTCCTTGGTTTAGACCAATCCAAAACCTGTATCGACACTCTCAATAGCAGCCAGCAGGTCTCTTTCAAAGACACTGTACTCTTTGTAATGTCTTGGGAGTTTGAGAAGGTGAAAGCACGTTGAGGACTTTGGGAAGGTGCCCTCCACCACTTCAACGTCTAAGTATCTGGGAAGCACGTTCCATCCCACCCAAAACTGCAATAGTTCTCCTAGCAGGTTTGTAGATGCTACCACAGAGGAGAATAAAAACTTGTCTGTGTAATGCAAACATTATTGTAACACTTGTCCCATTTTCAATGAAACTAGCAATTTACCGTTCTCAATGAATGTGCAAAGATATCCATTGATCCTACATGCATCTTCCAAAGAGACATCGCTGTCGCCATCTTCATCCTGCAATGGCCAGTTTATCTTGCCCAAGATGATCTGACAGAAATAATAGGCATCAGGTAACACCTATATTTCCATTTAGCTAAGATAGATTAAACTAAAAACTATTTTTTGTATATGAAAATTAAGATTAGTTTCCCAATTATTCATCAGATTTTACCTTTATTCTCCTTACATTTAGAAACAGATTTCTATCTATGGTGAGAAATGAAAATTAAGGAGACATTTCTGAATAGGAGCTACATTTTAACTGAATGTAGAGGTGACGTTTATACTAATTGCATCTATCCGTTTGTCTCTCCCTTAGTGAGTTTACCCTGTGAATTATTCTGTTAGCAAAATCATTATCAGTCATCTACCTGATTCTCATAAGTTTTCGCAAAGAAAATAATACATATGTCCAAATAATCCCTAAAGTCAATGAAAAATGCACATTGTATTTTAATGTGTTCACCTGTGATGTATGCTGCACATCAGATGATCTTGGAAAGAGCAATGGAATTGTGTCTTTCCTCTCTGTTAGCAAAGGCCAGATTAGAGTCTCTTTCAGGCCTCGTCGTAAGTGCTTGACTTGTTTGGAGGTTCTTCCAAGGACCTGCAAAATAGTTATGTCACAGTACATCTAAACAGTCTTGTGCTCGAGCTACACCTTGTATATTATCTGTTATATACTATCAACATTTTTGTGTACGACTTTTGAAAAATACAATACCTAAGACTTCCACTGTTCTAATCCTCTAAACCCTCTGTTTCATTTCACATCCTGTTAAGTACAAAATACTTACAGCATGGAGAAGTAGTTTATCCAGCAGCCACCTCCTGTTTTCAGATGTGACTTGTGGAAAATCCCAGGACATTGCCAGTTCATTGATAGCATGTTTTTCTTCAGATAACAATTCAGCAGTACCTTCCAGCTGATATTAAAAAGTAAGTGTTGCATTATTAACTGGCATTTTGATTGTCATGTATTTTTAATATTTTTAAGATTAATCTAGAAAATATTAACGCATCACAATCAAAATACCAATAAATATTGGCACACTTCATTTGTTATGGCATTTCTTATTATTAATAAAACTATACCAAACAAAGACATCATACCAACTTGATTGTTTCACGGATGTCGAGATCAGCACAGTCCTGAATATTTACTGTAGCTTCTTCTGTGGATCCTCCAAAGAGCACATGCAGGATTGCTGGGCTCAGTCCAGCTAGACATGGGCCACCATGTTGGAATGAATGACCTATCATTCGACCAGCAACAACAAAAAAATCACTCTCCAAAAGGAAATGGGAAGTGGAAAGAGTCAAGTGGTCTTTTTCACCCTCAAAAAGAAGAGTCCCTCCTGGAGCTTCAGATAAAAGAGTAGTCAGAACACACAGGTGGTAAAAAAAAATAGACAAAACTAAAAACGGTTTTACATACGAATCAGGCAAGATTTGTAAACTTACCAAAACTAATGTCAAAACCAAACTGAAGTTTGGACATGATTGTGGCAAAGATGTGACGAGTCACGCCATCTCCAATTGCTGGATCTCCTAAGGATGCAAAACATATATTTAAAACAAAAATGTTCTTCCTCCATCTAATTTAAACAAGCTTGCATGTGTCCACGTGATACTTTTGGGTTTTAGTTAAGGGTAAAAATGGTCACAAATGAGCATATATGCTTTGCTACCCTATCTTTCACAAATGTTAAGTACTGTAAAGTGCATCATATCAATTTTAAATCACAAGATATTTACCCTTCAATGTGCATGTCAAAGGGGAAGCCCACTCAACATGAGCCATTTTGTAGAAAGAAGGGATTGCCCTCTCCCTGTCCTCTGCACAGTCTCCAAGATCTATGGTAAGACTTATTGGTTTTCCAGTTGAGTACTTCTGTAAGATGTCTTGTTTGAATATCTTGACAGCTTCAGTAGGATCTGGCTCGATTTTCCAACCTAAGAAAGTTTATACACAAATAAACATTGAATATGCATAAAATGTGCTGTAAAGGTCAATCATATGACGTAGTAAAGCACCTTCAGTAATCTGAGGAGAGGACACATGTTCCTGAGGTGTCACTGGGGCTGACATATCTCCTGAATGTGATGCAGAGACCTCAGTGTTGCTGGTCGTTGCTGTTCGACTCTCCTGTGGTCTTGTCGGAGTACTCTCTCCTCTATCTACATTTTGGTTATGGCTGGCACTTCCTCAGACCTCAGCCATCTGTACCTCATCACTGGTCTCCAATAGTCTGTCAATATCAGAGTTGTTACATTTTTCATAGACATTTTTACTAGGTAAAACTTGAAAAACATTCAGGCCTATGATACAAATCAAATAGAAGCTGATTTGTTATGTTTGCCTAGTTAATACATTTCTCATGTACATGCTATAGTGGTACAAAGTACACTGTACATTTACTGTAAATGCACCCGCAGTAACCTGTAGGCTGAAGGTGGAGGCATAATCCCTCAACACCACATAATGCTTTAACAAATTTTATGTTTAAGCTGTAAAGAGCCATACCTCATGCATTCATTACTATGAGCTTTGATTTGTGAAAATTGGAACTCTTCTCCACATATGACACATTTCTGAGGTGGTCCAGCTAGCTCCATTTTGCTGCCTTCTGGCTCAGATGTCTGCAAAAGAGAGCAATTAAATTCAATACTATAAAGTTACGGTCACCCCAAGTCTGCATTTATTACAAAGACACAACTGTTTAAAGTGAAGAACTCACAGGGTCAAGATTCAGATTCCTCTGAAGTGGGCGAATGAAAATGGTGGCATGACCAATCTGAGTTTGCGGATTCTTTAGATATCTGGCATTGTAGCCATCATTGGGACAGGGGATAATGGTCAGCTTGCGACTTCTTGTTGTTCCAGTAATCTTTAGCAATTCAAATCCACCCCCTTTCCTTAGTTTTGGAAATGCATTTAAAATAAATTATTTGAATTAATTTGCATTTGTCTGACTACCTGAAAAGAGAAGACAGAACACAGGAGCCAAATTAAAATCTCCTTTCTAGTACATTCGGTGCAGTACCCATTTAAAATGTGCCTATTTGTATAAAACATGTGGAATCTATGAGAACTATTAAAGTTTAAACAAATATTACTCAGCTGTAACATGCATGTGATAGCAACACTGTCAATTAACATATACAGTAAATAGATAGATGACAGATATTAAATTGAAATTCAGGTTATGGCTAAATAGAGGCATACCATATATAACCTAGTTTATTTAGATGCCTGTTAAATATTTTCACATATTTAGCCTGAATACACGGTAAATATTAATGGATTAAATGTATATTACATTTAATCAACTTCTGCTTTACTAAAGTGTTTGGACTGTACCACATCCAGTCTCTTTTTGAGATATTAATTTAATATCTTATGTGACATAACATGTAAACATGCGTAATCTCAAGGTTCACTCAGTACACTCTACCAAAGTGGATGAGATAAGGCGGTTGGCTCCGAGGCTTCTGTCTGAGACCGGCGGGGTAAAAAGATTGTTGATCCACGTGGGGGCAGTAGACGTCTATGACAACACAAGTGAAAAGTTGAAACGGGATTACTCTCTCTTATTGGACGACCTTGCTAAAATGGACGCAACAATCGTTATCAGTGGCCCACTACCAAATGTGGACGGGAAGCAAATGAAATTCAGTCGTCTGTATCAGCTAAATACTTTCCTACTCAACGAATGTTCACGCAGAGGACTTGCCTTCATTGAGAATTTTAATCTGTTCTGGAATAGGCATGAGCTTTTTGAAGGGAAAGGGCCACATCTGAACACTTACGGAGTAAAAGTGCTGATGGATAACCTTTCTTTTGCCCTGAGACCTCAGCCTGCGCAGCGCGTGCAGCCATCAAAAGGGAGGAAGCCGACTCTAAAAGTCTCTGCACCTCCACCACCTCGAAGGATCTCAACACCACCACCACCTCGAAGGATCTCAACACCATCACCACCTCGAAGGATCTCAACACCTCCACCACCTCGAAGGATCTCAACACCTCCACCACCTCGAAGGATCTCAACACCACCACCACCTCGAAGGATCTCAACACCATCACCGCCTCAAAGGATCTCAACACCTCCACTGTCATCAGAAGCAGCTGCATCATCACCAGCAGCAGCTGCATCATCACCAGCAGCAGCTGTATCATCACCAGTAGCAGCACCAGCAGCACGACCACCACCACCAACATCCTCATCCCTAGCCTGCTCCAAAGCAGCCACGCCTCCTTCATCTACAGCGCCTCTGAAGCCCCCATCCTCACCCCAGCCTACAGCAGACAGGCCTGTGCTGGGGTTTCCTCAACCACCTGCCCCTCCATCAAAGACTCCCTCGCCACCTCCCATGGACCTGTCTTGGGTCCCCCCTGCCACGTCCACTCCATCGAGAGAGAATGGGGACACGTCCCTTTGTTTTTCATCCCCGCCTTCACTGTTAGACCTACCTGAACACTCTGCAGGGCTAATAAAATCGGCGATGAAGACTATTCCTCTCACACCCATATTAGCTAGATCTAGAGTCCTGTCCAACATGCTAAACCACTCCCCATATGTACCTCCAAAACCACCTAGGGTTTCCAATTCACCTACAAAAACCACCTCAGCCAGTCCCTCCCCTAACCTCATGACCATTCCACCCCCACTTCCCCCTCGTTCAACACCCAAAACCTCTGCCTCAGCCCACCCCGGCCCTAACCCATCACCAAAAACCCCTCCACCTCCCTGCCCCCCTCGTTCAACACCCAAAAGCCACCCACCTCTCCATCCTCCTCCCCCGCCTTCCCCTTCCCCTCTTTTCTCTAAACACTAGGATGCACAGGGTCTCTGCTTCGCAGCCACTGGCAGTCTAGTTAGAGGAGAGACCCGGCTGGGGCCCTGTCATGAAGCCACCTGTGCCATTCCCTTAGTGATAACACAAAGAATACATTACAGAAAAACATCTGGAGTTAATCAGTCTAATCTGGAAAATCTAATTCTTGTTCCGTGTAAGAATCAGCCGACCACAACCGCTGATACTGAAACTTTGAAACTTGCTACGCTTAATGTCAGATCTCTTTGTAACAAGTCTTTTTTAATCAATAATTTTATTTGTTCATGTTCATGGCTGAAACTTAGCTTGACCAAAATTCAGGAAATGCAGTTTTAATAGAAGCATCACCACCAAATTTCAAGTTTGAATCTGAAATACGGGAAAACAAAAAAGGAGGAGGCTTAGCTGCCATTTTTAGAGACCACTTTGTCTCCCATAGAATGTCTCTTGGGAAGTTTTCATCATTTGAATATGTGTCTTTTAAAATACAACAAAAACAATCTCCTCCAATACTCTTCATTGTCCTATACAAGCCACCGCAGTCATGTCACAGTTTTATTGATAATTTTACCGAGTTGCTTTCAGTTGTATGCACAGATTTTGATAGTTTGGTTATTACAGGTGATTTTAATATTCATGTGGATAATGTTGATGACAGAAATGCAAATGAGCTGAGTTCTGTACTTGAATCCTTTGATCTCACTCAGCACGTAAGTGGCCCCACCCACAGCAGAGGGCACACTCTAGATCTGTTAGTTACTAAGGGGGTGAATATTTCAAATGTAAACGTGGTCGATGTTGCTCTTTCGGATCATTTCTGTGTTTTTTTTGACATGTGTTTCACTAACAAACCACCAGTGGACTCTGCAACTGTACGAAGAAGACACATAAATGAAAATACGAGTGAACTATTTGTGGGAATGATAAACTTTGAGAATGCATCGTATTCTACTGTAGATGAACTGTTTAACTCTGTCACCTCTAGTGTTTTGAACGTTCTGGACACCATCGCCCCTGTGAAGGTTAAAATAGTGAAAAATAAGCAGAAGGCGCCGTGGGCTAAAGCAGACTCGGTCAGGGCACACAAGAGAAAGTGCCGGAGGGCCGAGCGGAAGTGGCGCAAGTCCAACCTCCAGGTTGATTACGAGATCTTCAAAGATAAGTTGTGCGAGTTTAACCGGGTGCTACGTAGTACGAGAGAAAGGTATTTTTCTGAAATGATTAAAGGCTGCAGCAACAATCTGCGTGTTCTGTTCTCAACAGTTAATAGATTAACAAACCCCCCTGTTCAAATGCCATTAGAGCTTACTTCCAAACGTAAATGCAATGAGTTTGCTAATTTTTTCAATGACAAGGTTCAAGGCATCAAAAACGCCATTGTCTGCAATCCACAGATAACCATCCAACAGCCAGAAAGGCTCTTTGAGCTAATTCACTTTGCACCTGTAAATGATAAAACTGTCCAAGAGATAATCTCCAGTTTGAGCTCCTCCACATGCAGCTTGGATGTACTACCCACTAGATTTCTGAAGTCTGTTCTGAGCAGTCTGTTACCTTCACTCACACAGATAGTAAACATGTCCCTTCATTCTGGAATATTCCCAAAGGCCCTGAAAACTGCAGTCATCAGGCCCCTGCTAAAAAAGAGCAGCTATCGTCCCATCTCAAATCTGCCATTTATGGGGAAAGTCCTTGAGAAAGTTGTCTACCAACAGGTAAATAGATTTCTTATAATCAACAACTCATTTGATATGTTTCAGTCCGGCTTTAGACCCCACCACAGCACTGAGACTGCTCTTGTTAAGGTTACAAACGATATCCGGCTGAACACTGACGCAGGCAAAGTCTCAATCTTAATCTTGTTAGATCTAAGTGCTGCCTTTGACACTGTCGACCATGAGATCCTCTTACAGAGATTAGAGGACTGGGTTGGAGTCGCTGGCACCGCCCTAAGTTGGTTTAGGTCTTACCTTGAGGACAGGAAGTACTTTGTGGAGATTGGAAACTGTGTCTCAGATCATATGGCCCTGACCTGTGGAGGACCACAGGGGTCGATCCTGGGACCTCTTCTGTTCAATCTCTACATGCTGCCGTTAGGTCAGTTAATACGCAGAAACGAAGTTTCCTATCATAACTATGCAGACGACACTCAGATCTATGTCTCACTGACTGCAGGAGAACATGGACCAGTGGACTCACTCCTTCACTGTATCCAACAGATCAGTGGGTGGATGCAAAACAACTTCCTTCAGATAAACGCAGACAAAACTGAAATGATTGTCTTTGGTCCCCAGAAACAAAGAGAGAGAGTGTCATCTGTCACCTCCAGTCTCTCTCCCTAAAACCTTCAAACAAGGTCAGAAATCTAGGGGTAATACTGGACTCAGACTTAAATTTTAATAGCCACATCAAATCAGTAACATCAGCAGCTTTTTACCATCTAAAAAACATTGCCAGGATCAAAAACATAGTGTCTAAAGCAGACCTGGAGATTCTTATCCATGCATTTGTCTCCAGTAGGTTAGACTACTGCAATGGCCTGCTCACAGGTCTGTCCAAACAGGCTGTAAAACAGCTGTAGTACATTCAAAATGCAGCAGCTCGAGTCCTGACTAGAACCAGGAAGTACGACCACATTAGTCCAGTCCTCAGGTCTCTGCACTGGCTTCCTGTGGCTCAGAGAATAGACTTTAAAACAGCTCTGCTTGTGTACAAGTCTCTCCATGGCCTCGCACCAAAATATATTAGTGACATGTTAGTCCCATATGAACCAGCCCGGACTCTGAGGAGCACAGGGACTGGACTCCTGTTACTGCCCAGAGTCAGAACTAAACATGGGGAGGCTGCTTTTCAGATTCATGCTGCTAAAATCTGGAACAGTCTTCCTGAAGATGTGAGACAGGCCTCCTCTCTGACAATGTTTAAAACCAGGTTAAAGACAGTTCTGTTTAGCTGTGCATACAACTTTTTATATTTTATATTTGTATCTTTCTTTTTAATGTTCTGTGATTATTTATGATTTTAATGCTTTCTTGTTTTGTTCAGCACTTTGAATTGCCTTGTGTATGAATTGTGCTATATAAATAAACTTTCCTTGCCTTGCCTTGCCTTGCCTAATTTAACCACGACAGGAACTTATATTTAATGTAAACAGCGCCAAACCCGCCTTATGTAACTTATTGCTAACTGAGGCAGCCATGAAAACGGACTCATAGGTTAGGCCCATTATATGAAAATATCGCCTAATCCTGCAGAGGCCAGCCTTTCTTTGACATGTCGAGGGGGCACTAGATCCATATTTTTATTGTCGAGACAACAGTAGATATGTGTGTAAGAACTGAGGTGTCCGGGTCCGGGCACAGCCAGGGATCTGCGACTTGACAATCTTCTCCCTCCTTGTTGATATGGTCCAAACAGTCGTGAAACCTCGGCTAGAATAAAGTGACAAGTAGCGTTATGAAATACATGAAACATCTACAAATTATAATGTACGAGTGCAATAAACACAAGGCCAATTTCCAAAACCTACCATCAACAGGGTGTCTTGGGGTCATAGTGTGTGAGGGCTGAGGAGAAATTGGCGCTATGCTAGCGGTCGGCGCTGCACACAAATGCAATGGATTTAGCAGATATGCCAGCTTTCTGTTAAGTTAAACTGTAATTTTAGTTTAACGGAGAAATTCATTCATCTATCTGACACATAACACAAACAGACTTACTGTTTTCAAGCCGGTTGGGCACATCACGCAACAGGTCCGCCAGCGATGTACCGCTTCCGCTTGAAGTCATCACTAAAACTCATACTAAAACTGAGCAGTTAGCAACGATCTTGGAGTAATTTTGATAGCTATAGATTGCTTCTGTCTGGTTGCCCTGGCTGACCTACTGCCCACCAATCCTGCTATGGATTGAGTTCACCACCGCCCGCCTAATTAGCATACGGCAACACAGAAATACATAAATAAATAAATGAAGAAATGTAGAAATACATAAATAAATAAATGCAATAAATGGATAAATAAATAAAGGAAAAAATTTAGATATTGATAAATAACCTAAATAAAAGTATATTTATTTGATTTCAGAGTAATATTTAACATATCAATGTAAATATTTAGTTTTTATTGTCCAAAATGAATGTATTTATTTATATATTCCTGTATGTATTTATTTATTTATACTTTAGTCATTTTTGGTCCTCCATATTAATGGAAACTCTACCATAGACAACACAAAATCACTGGA